CCAGCTGTTCTCCTGACAGGTGCTCCACCAGCTGTTCTCCTGAGAGGTGCTCCACCAGCTGTTCTCCTGACAGGTGCTCCGCCAGCTGTTCTCCTGACAGGTGCTCCGCCAGCTGTTCTCCTGACAGGTGCTCCGCCAGCTGTTCTCCTGACAGGTGCTCCGCCAGCTGTTGTTACCTGTTCAACTTGTTCTTTCACAATGTTGGTGTTCTTGGACATCAGCTCCAAGTACTAGAAAATTATTTCACCTTATTACCTTCTATTTCCAGTAATGCTTTCTGGCTCCACCCCAACAGGAGACACGGACAGATGGACACACACACACACACACACACACACACACACACACACCCCACTGTGGTCACCGTCCTTTGGAAAAGCTCTAGTTTACTACTTGTTAGATGCCATAAAATCAATTTGGACTCATGGCTACCCCATGTAACAGAGTAAAAGGGTTTTCTTCACTGTAATCTTTCTAAAAGCAGATCACTCAGCCTTTCTCTCAGGGAGCAGCTGGGTAGGTTTGAACTGCCAACTTTTTGGTTAGCAGCTGAGTGCTTAACCATTTGTACCACCAGGACTCCTCTTCAGCAAGGACTCTGGAACTGAATGCACTGTATTTTTTCTCTTCTCTACACGTGTTTGAAACTTAGTACTATTAATAATGTAGTATATATTCATGTTAGAAATTTATGACACACAAAAAGGAAATGAAGGCTACTTATAATTTTATACCAAGTGATGACCACATTTGGTGGTAAATCCTTCCAGCTTTTTTAATATGGCTTTTTATTTTGTTTTGTTTTAATTTGGCATAGGTTTAGTGCTTGCTTGCTTTTCAAATATGATGTTTTCTTTTGGATCACTTAAAATTTGTCTGGTAAGAGTTTCATTCTTGGAAACTTCTCATCCTTATCTTTCTGTTAGAGTTACCAGATCATGGGCTCATGAGCTCACTATCCCCAAAACCTTTTGAAGTGCATTTTTCTGCCCTACCAATGCCCTTCTGCCCTGCCCTGCCAACCATGCCTTTCAGTCCCTTCACCTCGGAAACACATCCCTCATAGCTTCCTCATCCTCTTGAAAGGGAAACCGGCACACAGCAAATCACAGCTTAGAAGCCGTGCATCTGGAGACAGAAGACATGTCCAGCAGAGGTTCAGGTGGGTGAAGTCCCCAATTTCATTGGTTTATTTTCTTGCCGCTGTAAGTCTGAAAATTTCAGCATCCTCATTCCGGGCAAACACACTGCCTTCTCTACCAGACTGCACAGTGTGCAGAGAACGCTCCAACACACCACCTGCCCCCGCCTCTCTAACCCTTCTTCCTGCTCCCTGGCTGGTTTACCCTTGAGCTCAGAGCTCATGGGCAGGAGTTACAGGGCTTGCCACTATCTTCTATCCATGCTATTCTTCCATCCACTTGTTGGGTCTGTTTACAAACCCATGAAGCTCTGGCTTCTCATCGTAGCCCCAGATGGAAGACACCATACCTTCAGCATTGAGATGCATTGTCTCGAAGGGCCCAATGAAGGCATACCGCAGTCCGAGTCCATCTGACATGACAAGGTCCAGGTCACCGGGGTCCACTACTCCCTCCTAAAGGCAGGGCAGAGACAAGTTATTGGAAATGCAATTCTAATGATTACCATTTTATCCTAACTTCTTAAGAATTGTTGTTGTTAAGTGCCATCGAGTCAATTCCAACCCATGTTGTTGTTGTTGTTAAGTGCCGTCGAGTCGGTTCCGACCCATAGCTACCCTGTACAGGGTTTCCGAGGGTGTAAATCTTTATGGGAGTAGAAAGCCTCATCTTTCTCCCGCGGAGCAGCTGGTAGTTTCGAACCGCTGACCTTAAGGTTCGCAGCCCGATTCGTAGCCACTACGCTACCAGAGCTTCCAACCCATAGCGATCCTATATAGGATTTCCAAGGAGCAGCTGGTGAATTTGAACCACCGACCTTACAGTTCAAACGACTTTGCAGTCTGACGCATTAGCCCACAGGGCCACACCAGGTTATATTCTTAAGAATATAACCCCCCAAAACCCTCCCAAAACAATATTTTGATCGAATTTTGCTACACAAAACTATAAGGATACATAAAGAGATCTTGAAAAGGAATGACTCTGTGAAATGCTCAAAGACAAAGTCTCCTTTTCTATTCCTGTAATCAATTCCTCTCTGCTTTGAGGAACAAACCTCCACTGTCTTCGCCCTAGCTTCACCAGACAACCAAACACAGAACCTAGACTGTGGAAGGGAAAGGGTGGAGGGGGAGGGGCACCTCCCCTTGTCTGTTTGCCTAAAACTGCTGGAAACAACAGGAAAACTGCTCTTCTGGATTTACCCACTGGCAAGTTCAGCCTTGCTTAGCTGTTCTTGATTGAATCTGGCTCAGAACCATGGGTTTGCTTGCACAGGTGGGGCCTTAGACCTTGCAAGGGTAAATTAGAACGCAAGAGGCAAATTGTTGGGACTTCACATTAGGAGTGTGAATGGCCTCAGTCTGTGTTAGTTGCCCCATTCTTTACTCAGCCTCTCCCTCAAACCCCTGCTGGGATGAGACAGGGAACCATGAATGACTTGTGCATGGTGTCAGCTCACCTCAGGCTACACCCCGTCTGAGGACGTGTTCAACGTGGACACTAACTGTCAGACCTTGTCATATTTCCCCTCCATCTTCACAAAGTGACCGTGGAGTCTGCAGCTCCGATTCTTGTTCCCTAAGTGGTCCCTTTTGCAGACAAAGCGTAGAGTGGGGACAGATAGCTTCTAGCCCAGTGAGAGAAAGCATCTCTGGCCCCCTCACCCTCACCCAGCCAGAGATGAGCTCCTCTGGAAACACTCAGCTCTGCCCACACTCCAGGGCACAGTTACCGGGCACCAGGCTTCTGAACAGGCTCGGACAAGTGGATTAGTGTTTCTTTACATTGGGTTATAGGGCAAATGCTTTGCCTTTCCTTGAAGCCTGCTTAAGAGGGTGTGTGTGTGTGTTGAGGAGGGGACAGGAAACCTTCATCCATCCCTCCCTTCCAGTCACAGCTTCATCCAGACCCCAAGTCTGGGGAGGAATCACTGCCCTCCAGCCCCTCGTCTTGGAGAACTACTCCCTCTGCTAATCCTCCTCCTCTGTAAGCAAACAAACAAACCCAGTTCCACTGGACTCATGGACCCCTGTGTTTTTCAGAGTAGAACTATGCCCCATGGGGTTTCCAATGATTGTTTTCCAGACATACAAGGAAAGTCACAAAGTATCGCTGCAAATCATAAGCCCCTTTATTAAGCAAAGATATTAAATTGTGAGGGGAGTATGGTAGCTCCACACGATAAGCACTGGACTGCAAACTACAAGGTCTGCGGTCAAGCCAGCCAGCTGCTCTGTGGGAGAAAGTTGAGGCTTTCTTATCCTATAGGAAAACCCTGTATAGGGTCACCATGAGTCGGAACCCGCTTGACTGCAGTTAACAACAACAACAGTCAAATTGTGTAGCTATTTATTGCTTAACATATCCTCCATCTAGGTCTGTCCACTGTTTAAGGCCATGTGGCCAGTTCTCTAACAATGTCCCAAAGGATTCTGCACTTTTTGAGTTACACCACATCAAAATGCCAAATTTGGCATCCTCAAGGGACTAAAATAGTTATTCCTTTTCAATGTTCTTTGAGTGTGGGAAAGTCTGAGGGGCAGGAGAGGGCTGCAGGGTAGATGGGGTAAGGTTTCCCAATTAATTTCCCATAGGACAGTCATTGCTACCCTCCAAGAATGAGCAGGTGCATTGTCTTGATGGAAAACAATTCTACGGCAAAGCTTTCTTGGCCTTTTTCTCACCAATGTGGTTTTCAACTTTTCTTAAAACTTCTTCCACTAGGCCACTGTGGTTGCCCTGTGTCCTTTGGGATTCTAAGAATTGTTACCGTAATTCTCTGCTTTGAATTTAACTGGCGCAGCAGATCCCCTCAGAAGCCATTGTTTTCATTGGACCTTGCTCTCTGGATTCTATTGGTAACTCTAAGACTTGTCCCAGTTATGATTCATTCTGTAAAACTCTTCATTAGCTTCAGTCTTGCAGAAACGACTGATGCAAAAGATCAGCTCTTTGAGCTCGCTGACCTTCACGCTATGCTTTTGCTGCCCATGGAGCTGAAAGCATGCAGAGGCCAAGGTTTTTGCTTAAAACTGGAAATACCAAACCATGTGAGATCCTGCTTCAGAAGCGATCGCATCAGAGATCCCTCTCCAGTCCTCTTCCACCAGACAGTTTCTTCATTCTTCCACACTGGCAGTCTTCCCTCTCTTGGCTCATCTTTAAGGTCTTTCTGGACTTTTTTGATCCACCTGAAAACTGTTGTTTTATGTGCAGCAGCAGCCCAGGAAACTTGTTGCAAAGCTTCAATGATTTGAGAAGAGGTCTGCTTGAGTTTTATTAAAAATTTGATATTAACTCTGACCTCATAATAGTTTTTTTTCCCATAAGAAGTATCCTTTTTTTTTTTTTTTTTTTTAAGGCGCCCTCACAAAATGAAGACAAGTGTATTACTGAGAAAACGTTTCTGCAGCCATCCACTGATCACAGAGACACATATGTACATGTTTTATTTAACATAAACCCATGCATGTATAAACTGGAACCCTAGTAACAATACTTATAAACTGTACAGTTCACCACACCTTTCTTCCGGGGTGCCTTGGGGTGGACCCAAACTTCCAACCTTTTGGTTAGCAGCCCAGCATGTTAACTCCTCCTCCAGTATTTGATCTAACTTCTTTACTTCCCAGACTTCAAAGGCAGTCCTAACTGGTCACCTAAGATGTTGAGAGAGAATGCAAATTTGACCCTCACCTCCACTACTGTTCACACCCAAGCTGCTGAAGAAAATAAAGAATTGTCTCAAGGTTTATGTAGCTGTTTGGGCTACTCTAGTTCATACAGAGAGAGAGACCACTCTGTGGTAATGTGAGGGTGGACCGTGAGGTGGGAGGGAGATGCAGAAAGAAGATGGTGTTGAAAGAATTTTTAAAAGAAATCACTCATGAAAGGCAAGTACAATTTACAATAATTGGGAAACTTCATTTTTTAAAATCATATTCTGTTTAATTTTGTGTGAGAGAAAGCTAAAATATATAAGTAAGCAAGGTCCACATGGGATTCATTGTGCCTAACTTTAACTTCTACCGTATAGTGAACAATGTCACCTGAGATTTACCACATCTTTAATGTGGTCAAACCTAGATGAAATTGCTCACCACAGATCAGTGAGTAAGCACAATTAAGCTCCTGTGGACCTTGCTTACTGCAAACCATAAGAGCCATGGAGTCCTAGTGAGGCGCTGTAGGTTAATATGCTGGACTGCAAAGTTAGTTTGATCTGCAAGGTCAGCGGTTCAATTTCACCAGCTGCTCCTTGGAAATCTTATACAGGGTTACTATGGGTTGGAACTGACTCAACAGCACTTAACAACGACTGGTTAATCCAGCCCTGCATACAGTTAAGACATAGCTACAAAGCCACTACCTCTTCCTAATGATCGTTTCCTTCTTTTGTAATAAACATTTCTTTACTTTTAGGATTTTCTATCTATGATTACATTCCTAAGTAAGAATTTACTTTTTACCTATTTGTAATCAAATGGAACGAAACTGTATGTACTCTTTTGTACCTCGCTGTAAGATTTGTAAACTTGTGTGACATCTCACAATTTACTTAACCCCTCTGTTCATGACCACATGTGCTGGTTCTAGTTTGTGACTATGGTAAGAAGACTGCCATGAATATTCTCATACATGTCTGAGGAGGGACTCTGAGTCTTACAGTGTACACGTCTTCAACGTTACTAGGGAATGCTAAAGGGTCTTCCTAAGTAGTTAGATAGATGATAGCCGTCTTCAGCAGTGCGTGAACCCTTGTCACTCCACAACCTCTCCAACACTGGGTGTCGTCATGCTTTCAAGCTTTACTAATCTGGTAGGGTGTGATGGTATCTTATTGGGGTTCACCGATTGCTAATGAGAGCAAATTAAATGATTAATCTCACGTAAATGTTGACAGTTTTCACAGCCTTTCACTTCTTACAGCAGAACTGTCAGGGGTGGGGGGCAGCAACAGAGGGGGTCCCAGAAGCATCTGAAACTGATTGCAGGGCCTACCTCCCTCCCATCCTGACCAGGCTCGTGGGCAGGACAGTGGTGCCTGGCCCTCTTCCCGGGGCCACCTCCAGCCACTTGCTGAGACCTCCCTGCTCCCCGTGGGTTCTGGAATGTTGTGAAGCGGAGCCAGGCAGGGGTCCTGCAGACGCGCCTTGTCCTTTGTTTCAGGTCAACACCCCAAACAGCTGTACATTTTCATCCTAACATTCAAAACCATGCAAGTGTGCAAATATGGAAGTCATCCTGTTCTTGCAATGCTATTTGTCTTGGCTCTTTTCTTCTGTAATTGTGGTTAGAATTTTTAAAACCCAACTTCAAAAGGATTTCAAAACACCCAAAAGGATGAACCACCCAAAAGTAGTACCTTCTGAGCTAACAGTGGATCCAATTAAAGTCTCACACTACACCACGAGTGAGGAGAAGAACCCATATTGTTTCATTTCCCAAATGT